ACTACTGGGGCTATTTAAAATTACCTTGATTATGCCTTTTGCATTAGGTGTTTTTCACCAGCAGGTCCTTGCATTTGTCCTGCTGGAATAAGCTCTGGAGTATTTCCACTTTCTGCCACAGGTCCAGCCATGGCACAAGTGCAGTAGGTGACCTGCTAGAACATGGGCCCCAGTGGGCAGCACTGTGTCACCTCACAGCTCTGCTTGAGCCTGTTCTTCAAATCCAGTTTGAAACCTTGTGAGAAGTAAATTCTGCCTGATTGGAATATTGGATTAAATGGCATTTTCTCATCAGCATCCACCTGGGCTCCACTGCACAAGTACTTTAGGGGCACTGTCACTACCCAGAATATTCATGTGTTCAGCCTTTAATCTCTGAACTCTCTGTACACAATGGAGCTTTTCAGAATAGCAAAGCCCAGCTTAATTATGCAGTGAGACATGCTGGATGTGCTGGTCAGGTCTTGTTCCTTGGGGTCGTGCAGTTTGAAAGTACAGCTGTAGGCAGTTTGCAAAAATTGCTTCTCTTTTCCTGCTAAGATACTGTCACATCAACCACGAGCATTTGCTGCCATAATTTATTGTTTCTTCCCATACTGAGTCAGAAGGGTATGCATTTTTTTCTTCTTGGCTAAATTAAACAAATCAGTCATTTCACAAAAGTTTCCAAATGAAAGATTGTTGTAAGCAAGACCAGATATGTTCTTTTACAGATCTGGGGTTCAAAAAGAAGAAGAAAAAAAAAGAAAGAAAAGAACAAGGAAGCTTGAGAAACAGCTTACAGTTTGCTTTGGGCTAATTAGATCTTATCAGTGAAAAGACAGATATTTCTTTCTTTAGCATGATGCCATGGTGAAAGTTGACCTGGTGTTTATGAAAGCATATTGCATGCTGCTTTTCAGCTAGAGCTGTGGGGTTTAAAGGAGTGATCCTCATAAAAAGCCTGATGTGAAGGTGTGTGGAGCACTGGCTCCCAGAGCACACATGTGTGTGCTGTTAAGGTCCCGGGAAGGGAGCAATTACAGGACCTTTGTCATTCATCTCAGATGCTGTGTTAGAATGTTTTTAATAGGAACTTCTCTTGCTTTCTTTCTGACTTTCATAGAGGCAAGGAATAAGACCCCCGAGGGGAAAAACACTCTACCCTAACGCCTTGAATGCTTGAACTCTGAAGTCAGTAAAGCATGACTCTATCTCTCAATATTGGAGCTTTAGCCATGGTGTTATCCTTGGCTCCAGCAACTTCCAGCAAACTGGGGGCAAACCAGTGTCTTTAAACATCAGATGCCTGCAGACTGATGAATAAAGAGAAAACCCCATCTTGCCTGCAGCTGACTTGTGACAGTCATCTAGAGCTGGATCTTCCTCTGACAGATCAGCCCTCTCTGTGCTGCAGTGTGCTCAGGATTGGCTGGAGGGATGCTGTGACCTCCTGCTTCTGCTGGGAAAAGTTTCTTACAAAAAATATTTTTACATCTATCCCTTGGAGGTTAGAAAAGTGACATTTCTGAAGGTGTGCTGGGGTCTGAAATGTATCCCAGCATCCCAGGAGCCCTCAGCAATGATCCATTATCCCATTCAGTCCTGAACCTGTGTCTGTGCTGGTAAATCTGTACCTTTTCTGCCCCCATTAAGCCTCAACAGAGGGATTCTTTGGACTCTCTGTTGTGCTGCCCAACAGCAGCCCTGCCCTGGCTTAAGCCATTCTCATTCCCCTCTCTTTCTCTGCTATCTTTTGTAGACCAGGAGTTGATGAAGGCCCTGACAGATCTCAGCACTTTCTGTAAATTCATTCTATTTTAATACCTAATATTCTCCTGAGGCATTTGCTTTCAAAGCAATTAGACATCTGTCAGCACCTTTGCTAGATTTCAAGCTTTCATATCAGTATCCTAAGGTGGAAATAGCATTCCAGTTGAAAAATCATAGCTTGCTCCTAAGGTTAGAGTTTTTCAGTGAGTAAATCTTCTTTAAGCTGTTGACTGCAGCTGCTGCCTTGACAATTTGTGAGTTTATTTCCTTCTGGATATCCCCACTGGCTTGCATATTACTGCCAAGGAATGTGAATGCAGGCATTTTTGTCTTGCTTTGCCTTCCTATGCAGTGTTTGAACTGGGAGTTACAGGGGCTCTCATTAGCTTCACTTTTTGTAGCTGTTCATTAACCACTTCAATTTTACACTGCTGAGCAACCCTTTGATCTTTGCATGGGGGTGGATTTCCAGTTTACTGTGCGTGTGTTGTCAGTTTAGGGCATTATGGTTAAATTCTGTGCATTTTGCACGTGTGTTTTGGTGATGGTGGCACCACTGGCAGGGCCTGGTGGAAGGGAAAATCCACTTCTGCCTTTGGCACCAGCATCTCTGCTCAACCCCTTGTCCCAGCCACAGCTTCCCAGAGGAGGGACATTGCTGGGGGGTCTTCTCTGCTGGATCCAGCCCTGAAAATTGTTCTGTGGATTTAGTTCCTTGCTCCACGTACATTTGGGAACAGAGAGTCCATAGCAGTGCATTTAGCTGTCCAGAGAAGGAGAGAAGGTATTTATGGGAATTTGCTGTGCAGTTGGAGTTTGATTTTTATGCCTCTTTTAATGATGTCCTCTTCCAATAGTGCAGCATGAGTAACAATTCCCCCTTTGTATGTATTTTGTATCTATTCCTATTTCCTATTGAAATTCCTAGGAAAGAAACTATCCAAGTACCGAGCTGAAAATTTCGTCTTAAAATAAGCCAGATGTCCAACCTTCCTTTAGCTGCCAAGCCCTAAAGAGTTCAAGAAAGATGTTAAAATCTGTCTTCCTGGCTGTGAAAAACTAATTGCATAGCATAGGTGATGATCCCAGTCTCCCAGGAGAAGGAATAAAACTGCTTCAGGCAAAAGCTCTGCTGTTATTTGTCTGAGGATTGGAGCTGGCAGTGTCTGTGGAAAAAAGTTTCACTGCTTGCCCTCCTTGCTGCTTAACAAATGCAGAGACAGGAACACAGATAAAGGTGGGTGAGTGTTTGTGTGTTGGTATCTGAAAACCTCATTCACCTTATGAGAAAAATGCTGGTTTTGTCCTTGTTTCCCTTCTTTCTCCCCATGTCCCCCCTGTTAAGAGCACAGGGAGTGCTTAAAAGCCAGAGAGGTTTCAGGCTCACTGTTGCAATCATGTGAAGGAAGCCCATGGCCTGAGTTATTTAATGCCTGTGTGATAACAGCAATTCTGTTTGCAAAATGGATGTTCAATTCCCTTCCCAAAGCAAGGAGTTTGGGGAGGATTAAGATTAGTAAAGCACTGTGAAGACTAAAAGTGCCACTGAATCCTGAGGATTAAAGGTTCCATTTGACTGCTGAAGTGGAAGGGCCTAATAGCTGCATTTATCAGGATGAAAATAGTTCACTTTAAATCCAGTGGCTGTGCCTGACTGGCTTCCAGGCTGGTGGAAGTCACTGAGGGCACTCAGTGCTGGGAAAGAGCTGAGGGACACACAAAACTAATGTAATGCCCAGACCTCAGTGCATAAATTCAGATTGTGAAGGGGATTTACATCAGGGACTTTAATTCCTGATTTTTGGAATAGCTCACTGTAGGGCAGGAGAAGGGTTCATTCAGCACAATCCTAAATACCATAACCATTGCTGAGGTAGTATTTGATAGTGGTCAATTTTTAATGCAAATTCAACAGCTGAAAAATCTAAGTGTAAAAATATCTGTCATAAAATGGTGTGCTGAACCTAAATTGAAATAAGAAGATTGTAAAGGAGAAAACCCAAACAGCAAGGACTTCTAGTGGTACTTCCAGACCAAAATGACCAAGCTTTGCTGTACTCACCCCCCTTGGATGTGGAGGTGGAGCCCTGTGTGCATCCACATGTTCTGCCCTTGGTCTCACAAGCATCCACACTGCACACACAGGATTTGTGCCTGAACTTCAGTCCAACCTCAGTGATGCCCAGCTCCTGAACCTCTCCAGTGTTTGGCATCTCTCTTTTGAGAATTGCCTCTCTGAGGTGATGGTGGTTTTCAGGGAGAAAGCTCCAATGCCCTGACTTTGGTGAGGAACAGCAGAACACAGCAAACATGACCTTTTTAAACATCATTCTGTTGATACCTCCTGGGCTTTCCCTCACCTCCTCCTCTCCCCCATCGTTTGCTTGTGTGTGGCTTTAGCAGAAACAGGAATCTTACCCAAGTCTTGCAAGCCATTGTTTCTTTATGTTAAATACAAGGTTCTTTTATTGACTCCAGCTGCTGCACCTCCCTGTGCTCACTGTGTTTGCTTTATTAAAATTGAACAGCGTGCAAGTAGGACATTGTAAATCACAAGTGACTGGGCCAGAGGAAGAGGGAGGGAGAGGGAGGTACTCTGACTGTATGACAACAAAGAGAGCACGTGAACAGGCTGGGCCTCCTGGCTAATAGCAGCCAAAACTCATGAGTACAATTTGCAATTGCTCCCAGGAGGACAGGCAAGGGCCAGACAGTTAGCAGGGATAGATGGGAGTGAAACTGGAATACCTGATGTGCTCTCTCCAGAACAGAGCTTCTCAGGGCTCTGGGCACACAGGAGCTGCCAGCCTCTGCTGGAATCCTGGGGTTTATCTGATGTCAGTGCCTGCCTGTGGAGGAAGCCTTGTTAGACCATCCAAGTCCTGGAGAAGGCTTTTAAACCAAGAACCACCGGGTCCCTCACAGAGAGGGAGGTGGAAGCTGCTGGTCCATAATTCAGCATTACACATTTTTCAGCTTTGCCTCTTCATGACTGGTGGAGGGAATTGCATTTTTGTCTGCTTTAACCCCATGGGCATCCACAGGGGACAGTCAGAGTAGGTAGAAACACAACAGGTTCCTTCCCCATGCCAGGAGAGTTCCTCTGCTCACAGAAGGTGCAGAACCATCACGGACAGCACAGCAGCCACATAAGAGTGTCCCTGGCTGCCGCAGTGAGCCCTCAGCAGCACAGGAGCAGTGACTTGGCTGTGCTGTGCCGTGTGAGCTCAGTGTGCTCTCTCCTGCAGTGCTCCTCCACGTGCGGCAAGGGGCTGCAGTCGCGGGTGGTGCAGTGCATGCACAAGGTGACCGGGCGCCACGGCAGCGAGTGCCCCGCGCTGGCCAAGCCCGCAGCCTACAGGCAGTGCCACCAGGAGGTCTGCAACGACAGGATCAACGTCAACACCATCACCTCGCCCAGGCTCGGTGAGTCAGGGGCCTGGGGGGAAGGTGCCGGCTGCCCAGGGGCTGCAGTGATAGTTTGGGCCAGAAACGGGGAGAGGCTCAGCCAGACTCCAGCCTAAATGTGGGTAGGTCCTGTCTGAGCCCTGCCTCAGGCTGTGCCTGGATGGAGTGCTTGGCATGGCAGAGGATGGAGCTGAGAGAGCAGCAGGAGCACACAAATGGTGGCTGATTGATTGGATTGATTGATTGATTGATTGATCACAGGGGAGGGAGCTGGCAGGTGCATTGTTCTCCATCACAAACCCTTCCACACGCTGCCTGTGCTGCAGTGAGTGTGAAGTAGGATCATTTATTCATGGTGCCCCAAGAAAATACAAAACCCTGACAGGTGGTTTGATGGATTCATTTGCCCAGAGGGGCAAGAGAGCATCCAGCTTCTTCCTGACCCTGTGATTTTCTGTCACTGTCTTCCTCCTCACCCTCCCTGCATTCCTTGTGTCCCTGGCTGGGATGGGAATATGGTGATAACCATGTGTCTCCTGAAACACCTAAGACATGCCACTAATTAAGAATGCCTCTGTTAATACAAATTTGTGGGGATCTCATGATTTTCCACATTGGTTTACATACAAAAATATAAATATAGTAAATATATATTTTTCCGAACTTCAGCTCTGTGTGTCCCCCTGCAGCTCCAAGAACCAAGTTGGTTTCTTTACATTTCACACATCATCACCAGTAAGATGAAGCTAAATTGAGGCATCAGCTGCACTGACCCAGCCTCATGGGTGCCTCCTGTCCCCTTTTGGTAGAAGAGTTGTAAACAAGAAAATGTTACCAGAAAGAGCAGCCTCCTCTCTCACATCTGAGCTGATCTTACAGGCTAATAAACCTCCAACACACATGAAAACACAGAGCTGCTAAATAAAAAAGAACCATTTTCTAATAATGCTGTCCAGTATTAAATAACACTTTAACTAGGACTGGACTTGAAGCTTCTGAACTGAAATTTGTTCCCCAAAAGTTTAACAGATGTTTTAAGAGAAAATAGGGAGTTTCATTCTTGCAAATGCACTCATGCTGAGGGGTTTCTGTCCTCTCTTGGTATGAGAGTACTTCCCAGATATTTTAGCGCTAAGAGCATAGTGGAAGGAAAACATTTCATTTGAGAAGTAAGCCCTTGATACACTGATGAGACAAGAATTCCATCCTAATTCACGTTTTAGGACAAAGCAATAAAATGCTCATGTGTTTAGAAGACTGAGGAGGCTCAAGTCCCTGCTGAAAATAATCTGCAAGCAATTTGGGATGCTTTTGTTTCTAAACCAGGCTTGGAATCACCAGAGCCAGAAACAATGATATTTGATATTAGTGGAAAGACATATCATTGAGTGTTTTGCTCTTTTTGCTTATAAACAATTCTAATTGGATTATCTTTAAACAGAATTTTCTCTTCTGCAATGGAAGCAAACAAAAAAAGAAGTCAGAAAAAAATCCCAGTAGTCTACAGACCCCATGCTGCCTTGCCCCTACTTCAGAATGGTTTTTTGTCTTGGATAACATTTCCAAAAATATCTCAGTGTGGAGTTCACCTCACTTGGCTTTTATGTCCGTGTCCACTGTCTCTTGTTGATGACACATTCAGAGGGATTTATCCTGTCACTTCTTTCCTGTCTTCCTTCACAACCTATGAGGGACTTTGGACCTCTGAAACATTAGTCCTGGCCTTGTTTGTGGCTTAGTTTCTTTTCTGTGAACTCTCCCATCTCAGGTTCATAAGCTCTGTCTCAGGTGTTCTTGCCAGGTGTGTGATTTATTCGTCTCCATCCCATTGTCTGCCGTGTGGAGTTCACGGCCTTAAATCTGGGCTGCATCTTTGGGTGTTTTGTTCATTCAGGCCTGTTTGCCTCTGAGACAAAACAGGTGCAACAGGAGGAGGTTTGCACTCCCCATTCATGTCCAGGGAAGGAAGGAAGCACTTCCAGAGCCTGAGATTTTGGCAGAGAGAACCTCACCTGCTCTCCAGTGCCGGCAGCGAGCGTGGCCCTCCCTCCCCTCGGCTGCAGGGCTTTGGTCACACCTGCAGTGCTGTTCCCTGGCTAACCTGGCAGTTTCTCCTTTCTTGTCTCCTCCCAAGCTGCCCTCACCTACAAGTGCACGGGGGACCAGTGGACAGTGTACTGCAGGGTGATCCGGGAGAAGAACCTGTGCCAGGACATGCGGTGGTACCAGCGCTGCTGCCAGACCTGCAGAGACTTTTATGCAAACAAGATGCAGCAGAAGAGTTAATGAAGCTGTGCCTCTCCTTAGAGTCTTCCAGCTGTTTGTATGGAAATCACAGACTAGTAGGTCTGAGTACTGGAACTTCATGAGTTGCTACAGCGTGGTGGATCCCAAAGCACACCTAATGAGACTTGAAACTAATCCTACAGACTGGATACCAAAGTCATCTGCTCATCCACCTTAAAAAAACACACAGAAAGGGTCATCTCAAGGAGCCAATCATTTCTGAATATTTTGACATCCTCACATTTTTCCTTAATGCTTTTTTAATATATTAAATCACCAGCCACTGGACGGCTTGCTACCATTAAAGAAAAGGACAAGAGTTGCAAAGTGATTACATTGGATAAGGTTATGGGTACCTCCATGGAGGGAGGCCTCTGGCAAAATAATTCAGCAAAGGTAGAGACATTACTTAATCTTTTAATCTTGGCTTTTATCTGTTGTTTTCAATTCCCAGCAGTTATCCCACTGCAGAGTGGGCTTGGAGGGACATGCATCAATGAAAGGCTTAGTTTAAGGAGAGGATTTTCTGTAAAAGCTTGTGAAAACTGATAGCAGAGGATGGACATCTCTGAATTTCCTACAGAAAACTCAGTATAATTATATCCAACATTCCAAGTCATATTTTTAGTGCCACTAATAGGGAGTGCTTTTCCTTCTAATTTTAAAAAACAGTCCTCTCTGTCTTTTCCCCAGAATAATAGAGTTCCTTTTATGAAACCTAATTTTTCTCGGAGCTTAATGAAATGAGAGCTTATTAACAGCCGTAGATAGTTACTTTTAAACAAGAACCATTTACATGAGATGGGAGAAGCCAGAAATCATTTCATCCAGTAGAGCTCACTGAGGGATTGCTTGGCCTGAGCTCTCTCCAATTTTTAGAAGTCAATCAGATAATGAGACTGTTGGTTCTTATAAGAGGACTGTGAAACTGGATAGGGTTGGAACAGAAACTGAATTTGGAACAGTCTTTGTGAAAAGGATGTAGTGGGGAGTAGAACAGGTGTTTTCTATCTCTGGGCTCTTTTACACAGCTGAGGTTATGTAGCTTTTGGAGTAAGCAGAAGTAGCCAGGGATGCAAGACATTCAAAGTGTAACCTGGAGCTTGTGGGAAGCCAAGGGCTCAGACTGCCACTGCTGTCTTTGAATGCTCCCTGTGTCACTTGTGTGGTGCTGTCAGGTTTGGTGCTATAGGTTTGGTGCTGTCAGAGCACTTACAGGTGCTGCACACACAATAATCTCTGCCACGTCTCTGCACTTTAAACCAGGCTCCTCTCTGTGATGTGAGACTTGAAACAGGAGCTCTGCCCAGGGCAGGCCTTGTCCCCTCCCTTGTCACACACATCAGTGTCTCCCCATCACATCTTGCTCCAACAAGCATCATTCCCTTGCCAGGGCCCAAGGCCATGGTGGAGTTTCAGCCCCCTCCTGGTGACAGGAGCAGCCCTTTGGATAATTGCAGCTTTGTGAGTACAGAGCTCTGGAACTGCGTGGGACTGTTTGACTCCTGGGAGCTGAGCACAGAGCCAAGCCCAGCTGCTCCCCCAGCCCCTGGGCCAGGCTGCCTGGCAGCTCTCACCTGGCCCCAGGTTGTCTTTGTTGCTGTTGTCTCTTTTTGTCAATGCAAGGAAGGACAAAGACTCTGAGTACCTAACGTGTCTTTAAAGCAATTTTTGCTTAGTACCATTCTTTCCATATCCAGGACCTCACTGGAATAACCTATTAACATTTTATTAAGGGCTAAATTTTTCAAGCACAGGGAGATAATGTTCATCACCAGACTAACCCTGTGTGGGCTTCACATTTACATCTGTGCTTGTAAGTGTGCAAATGAGTGTGTATGCACCAGGGCTGGCCTGATGCACAAGGACACATTGCACACCTTTTTTCTTCAAGTGCCTGTCTCAAACAGATCTGCTTTCCAATGCCTCAGATGATTTTCTCTATCAGGGAAATGATTCCAGCTTGGTTTTTGTTATACTGGATTTTTTTTTTTTTTTTTTTGCAATTTATAATCAGGATTAGACCTCCTTTTTCTGTTATTCCCACTCTGCTGCCCAGCCCAGAGATTGTGTAAGTACTTGGCAAGTAATCAAGGGAAAATTGCTGGAGGGGGTGACAGGGGGAAGATTTAGACAAAACCAGGTGATACTCAATTAGGCAAATTAACAGGTAGAAGAACTGCTAATGAGAAAGTTCCAAGAGATCACACAGAGCCCAGAGGACCTGGTTTATGTTCTTAATCCACAGTGGTGTTTCCCCTTTAGCCTGCAGTGACACTGGGACTGTCCTTGCTGCCTCCCTGCCCCACAGCCACCCCTGACACCCCTCACTCCGTTTGGAATTTGCTGTTTTCTTCTCACGGGCAACATTTTCTCTGTTACCTTGGCAGAATTGTGTGAATTATCATTGCTGGGAATCAAAGGTGCTTCTCCACAGCAGGAACATTTTCCTCCTGGTGCTGATCTGTGACCCTCTCTAGGCAAAAGGTAGGACATAGGAGAGGAAGGATTTTAGGGTTTGTGTTTTTCAGTAATAATTCACTGCTGGCCAGAGCAGAGTGCTGGGCTGGTTAGACCTCTGGCCTGACCCAGAACCATTTGGGTTCTGGACCCCAGGGACACTTGGGTCTGAGTTCTGGGTCCTACCTAAGGAAACAGGAATTTATAAGGATTTTTTTCAACTGTATGAGCACTAAGAAAAAACCACCTCACTTGCTCTTACAGCTCACAGATTAGCATGCATCAGCCTTTTATTTTTTATATCAACTCCCCAACATTATGAAGAACTGATGGCACAACACAGCTCCATTTTATTCAATTCTCTTACTTCACATGGTGACAACTATCACATCACATAACAGCCAGAAAAATAATAACAAAAAAAAAATTTAATTCTGTTCAATATTCCTGCACTTCTGGTTTTTATCACTGTATAGGAGCTTCACAATGAAGTCACAGCTATGCTCTGCCCTCAGTTCCCACATTCTGGTGAAAAGAAAAGCTGTTTGGGTCAGTGTGTCTACAACAATACTTTTCTTAGTTGTTCATAAGAGATTGATGCTCTTTTGATTACAGTGGTGGTATTTCCATATTGTAAACAATACTCTGTACTGTTACTAAAGTACTGTACATTTCTAGTTGCACAATTGTGTTATTGAGTGTAGATTCTCCCTATCTCATGTATGGTGCTATTTTTTGTTGGTGGAAAAGAATCTTAGCAGTTGATTATTGCTTAATATTTTATTATAATACAGGGATATATTCTCCATGGCAATAATATCATTTAAGTTTTCTCATTACAGAGTGAAATGTATATATTTTTCCATTAGCTAATTTGCATATGTACTGTATCCATGGTAATTTTCTTCTTGGTGCTGGTTATAAATAGAAAAAGATAAAAAACAGTCAAACTGAATGGAACCAGTTGTAAATGAAAGCCAAAAAAAAAAAAAAAAGAAAAAAGTATCATTCCATTTTGAACAAATTGAATATGTGGAATAATAAATTTATTTTTTTCCATAACAACTTTAATAAGGTTTCTGAACTTGAAGCAAAAATACAAAGCAAACCCAAAGCATGGAAATGAAGAGAAAGGAGTGAAGCTGTAAGTGGTACATTATGCATCTGTGTAATACTGGACTGAGACTGGCATTTGGATAAATCCAAGCCAACTGTTTAATTGCTGTGGTCAGTGTAAAAGCTCATTTGGCAGTAAAATTCTGGCACCTCAGAGTACTCAGTGTGCTAAAAACCAAGAAATGATGGGTCTTGTCCTGGTCAGGTTGCAAAATAAAGCACGGGGATGTTAACACCTGAATGATGCCTTGCCAGGTCTGTGGTCAGTGACACAAGAGTAGAAAATTCCTGTATGGGAAGAGCTTGCCAGGCTGTGTTTGGGATATCTGTGTGTGTGCCTGGGCAGGCTGTGGGGAGGGGAGCTTCTGCCTGGGGAGAGGGATGTTCTGAGAATGCCTTTGGGGAAGGTTGTTCTTGCTGTGCCTGAGCTGGGAGGGAGCAGCAGCTCCACAGGCACCCCCTGACAATGAGCAGTGCTGAGCATGTGGAAATTTATACTGGAGCAAAACAGTCCCATCCATTGGGAAGGTACTGCATAACCTAGCTGCACTCTCCCCTAGTGTGAAATAAACAGAATTACTTCAGTGCCACGTGTTTTGGATGTCTTTGTTGTAGGCACTGGCCAGAATGTTTGTGCTGTTAGCTGCCCCCAGCAGGGTGAAGGTTGTTTTTGCAGTCAGATACTCCTGTAGGATCCTCTCCCAGCCTGCCTTACAGAGATGCCATCATCTGTGTCCCACTCCAGCTCAATTCTTGTTAAAAGGGCACTTGGAGGTGGGAGCAGCATCTTTCTAAAGCAGCCTTAAAAAGCAGGAACATGGTGGAGTGGTGGACTTGGCACTGCTGGGTTGGACTTGATGATCTTAAAGGTCTTTTCCCACCCAAAAAATTCTATGACAAACCAAAGCAGAGTTGGTGTGAGAGCCCTCCTCCCACAATGATTTCCAGAAATGGAGTTTATACTTAAATAGCAGAGCTCATTTCCTGATCTCACATGGCATTCATGGCACAGCACTGATGGGCTTCTGAGGCAGCCTTGGGAGATCAGCCCAGTGCCAGCCTGCACAGGACCCTTCACAGCAGCACTGCAGAGCCTCCATCCAAGTGTGCTGTGCATTAACACATCATCCTGTTTGTGCCTTGCCTGCAGTCAACATCTGATTGCAATTGTTGACCTGTTTGAACAATAAAACCTAGCTCTGAGCCTGGGGAAGCCAAAGGGCTTTGCATTAAGCTGGGCTATGGCAGTGGGTGGGAGGGGTGTAAGGAATGCTGTCATACATTTGGCTTGAAATGCTCCTGGTATGTGCCAATACCTCTGCTAGAAATCCAGCAGGATTATATACTTACTTTGCCTATTTTGCATGTAGCCATTTGCTGTTTCTCTCATTCCTAATCCCCATTTCTACCCAAGCCATTGCCCTTCCCTGTGAGCTCAGTTGTGGTTTTTTATCTAAGACACCTCAGCCAAGGTCACTAAAGGCAGTGGGGTCAGAGGGCTCTGGTGCTGTGGCACAGAAGGATCAGGAGGAAAGTAAAATCCCTCCTCCCCTCCTTGGAGGTCATTTCTGCCTCCAGCAACTCCACCTGCTCCCTTCACTCTCCTGGTGTCCATGGCAGGCTCAGCTGTCTCTTGCAGCAAGCTGGCAGCACCCTGCTTGCTCTGGAAGGAATTTGCCTTCCAAAATGTGGAGCACTTTATCCCCACATCAGCTCACTGAGTACCACTGCTGGGGACTCTGCTCTATGGTAGAGTGAAAACCAAATGTTCCTTTGTGCTTTCCCCATCACCATATGGAGCATTTCCATGGGGAAAGGGATGTTTTCTCCTTGCTGGAGAGTGTCAGTGCAAACACCAGTGTGCTGTGGAGCTCCAGGCAGAGAAGATCTGTGCCAAATGTGCTCCCAGTCTATGCACTCACACTTCTGATGGTGTCAGGAAGAATGGGATGGGATGCTGCTCTCCATGTGGCCTGGGATGGAGGAAAACACTCATTTTTCACCAGGAGAGCACTGGCAGCTCCCCAGTCTGCAGGGTTGGCTCCATCACCCCACAAACCACCAGCAGCTGAAGGATCACTGACAGCTCTCTGGAAGGTCACTGCACACTACAGCATCACTGGAGCCTTTCTGGAGACAGGGAGTGAAAGTACTTGGACTGCTGAAGGACTGGTGAAAAAGGGGAATCCTCTAACAGAGTCTTCATGTTGCACCAAGATCACTGCAGCCTGTCCAGCAAAACCAGACAAGCCATTCTTGGGTTGGACTTCATTCATTTTCTTACAAAAGACATTTTTTGAACGTTTTTCAGCTCCCATTTCTTTCCCCAGCTCTGCACTTTTCCCCTTGATTTTGTCTCTGATGACAAAAGGACCCAACCAGACTGCAGCTTTGTTTGGCACCAAACTTCCCTCCTGAGATGATCACACAAGAAGCCTTTTATCACTCTGGGGGCTCTGAGCCAGAGCTGCTCGTGGTGGAAGTGGCTGGGACTGTAACCCCAGGCTGTGGTGGGATGAGAGTCAAGCTCAGGCTGTCAGCAAGGGGACCTGCAGCAATTCCCTGCCAGGACACATCTGACCTCCTGAGCCTGCTTCCTCCAGTGCTGTTCTCATTCAGAAAAAGGTATGAAATCCACATCTAGACTGAATTTAAAGATTAGGTGTTGTTTAAAATAGAAATCCTGTCCAGAATCATGGTCTGACTCCTTAGAAAATCACTACAAATTGAACCTCCCCTGTTCCCCACTGCTCAATAACAACATTTGGTTTTCTCACAGAGCTGGTGCCTCCTGTGCTGTGCTGGCTTCAGCACTGCCAGCTCTGTTCCCTGCCCAGGTTTGTGTTGAGGAAGAAGGGCCCTGCTGGAATTCTGGAATTCTGCTCTCCTCAGGCATCACCACCCTGGAGCTGCTCTCGCTCGTGGCTTCTTCCCCCCATCACATCACTGGCCAGCAATGCCTTGGGGAGGGGACAGTGACACTGAGCCCAAGAAATGCTGTCAGCCACATTTCCCAGAGGGTAAGGAAGATTCCATCTCTTTCTTTCTTGTTTTATTAATTTTTTTCCTCACCATGTTTTGCTAAAGAAACAATTTTAAAGGGGAAAAAGGAAAACTTACATTATTGTGTGAGCAAGATGGCAAAGAGCTTTCTGTGGGTATTCATGTGCCATTCTCCCTGCAACAACAACTCTGCCTGTGCTGTGGCTGCCTGAGTGTTCAGCAGGGGTGGTTTTGCAGCAGCTGTGTGCACAGTACCTTCCAACACAAGCCCTGTTCCCTGGCTGTCCCCATGGCTCAGTTTATTTGTGTGCAAGGCAGCTGAGAGGTTATCGAGCTTCCCATCAGCTGTACAAACTCACAGCAGCCCCAGCTCTGTGGGTGTCCCTTTCTG